CCCATTAGCAGTCACTCCTTCTTCTCCTGCCTCTCCTTCCTCCCCAGCCCTAGGCAACCACTAATGTACTTTCTGTGTCTATGGATAAACCTATTCTGGACATTCCTTATAAATGGAATCGTACAATATATGGCTTTTTGTCTCTGGGTTCTTTCACTTAGCATCATATTTTCAAGGTTCATCCTTATTTAGCATGTATCAAGAGTTTCATTTCATTTTATGGCCAGATACTATTTCACTGTATGGATATTCCACATTTTGCTTATCTATGTGTCAATTGATAGATCACACTTTGGGGCTGTTATGAATAATTCTTCCATGAACATTTGTGTTCACATTTTCATATGGACGTATGCTTTCATTTCTCTTGGCTATAAACCTAGGAGTAGAATTGGTGAGTTATGTGGTAACTATATGTTTGTGTTTTTGAAGAGCTGCCAAACTGGTTTCCCAAGGCAGCTATACCAGTCTGCATTCCCATCACCATGTAGGAGGGTTCTGATGTACCCACATCCTCACCAACACTTGTTTCACATCTTTTTTATTTTAGCCATCCTAGTGGGTGTGAAATGGTATCTCTTTGTAGCTTTGATTTGCACTTCCCTAATGACTAATTATGTCCATATTTATTTTTTGGTTTTGGTTTTAATTGAAGTATAGTTGATTTACAATGTTGTGCTAGTTTCTGGTGCACAGCACAGTGATTCAGTTATACATATATATTCCTTTTCACATTCTTTGCATTATAGGTTATTAAAATATATTGAATATAGTTCCCTGTGCTAAACAGTAGGACCTTATTGTTTATTTTATATATAGTAGTTTGTATCTGCAAATTCCAGACTCCTACTTTATCCCTCTCCACAACTTTCCCCCCTGGTAACCATAACTTTGTTTTCTGTGTCTGTGAGTCTGTCTCTGTTTTGAGAGTAAGTTCACTTGAATCCTTTTTTAAGATTCCACATGTAAGTGAATACTGAGTAGTATTCCATTGTGTATATATCATACAGCTTCTTTATCCAATCATCTGTGGATGGACATTTGGGTTGCTTCTGTGTCTTGGCTATTGTATGTAGTGCTGCTGTGAACATTGGGATGCAGGAATCTTTTCAAATTAGAGTTCCCTCTGGATATATGCCCAGAAATGGGATTGCTGGATCATATAGTAAGTCCATTTTTAGTATTTTGAGGACTCTCCATACTATTTTCCATAATGGCTGCATCAAACTACATTCCCACCAATGGTGTCAGAGGGTTTCCTTTTCCCTACACCCTCTCCTGCATTTATTGTTTATGAGCATTTTAGTGATGGCTCTTCTGGCAGGTGTGAAGTGATAACCTCTTTGCAGTTTTGATTTGCATTTGTCTGAAAGTTAGTGATACTGAGCATTTTTTCATGTGCCTCTTGGCCGTTTGTGTGTCTTCAGTGGAGAAACGTCTGTTTAGGTCTTCTGCCCATTTTTTGATTGGATTGTTTTGGGGTCTTTTTGTTATTAAGTTGTATGAGCTGTTCATATATTCTGGAAGTTAAACCTTTGTCAGTCTCATCATTTGTAGATATTTTCTCCCATTCCGTAGTTTGTTGTTTTGTTTTGCTTATGGTTTCCTTTGCTATACAAATGCCTTTAAGTTTGATTAGTTCCCATTTGTTTGTTTTCGCTTTTATTTCTGTTGCCTTGTTAGACTGACCTGGGAGAACATTGCTACAATTTATGTCAGAGAATGTCTTGCCTATGTTGTCTTCTAGGTGATTTGTGGTGCCCTGTA